TCTCTCTCTCTCTCTCTCTCTCTCTCTCTCTCTCTCTCTCTCTCTCTCTCTCTCTCTCTCTCTCTCTCTCTCTCTCTCTCTCTGTGTGTCTCTCTTGCCCACGCGCGCTCGCGCGTGCATATATACGCACACACTCTCACATATACACACACTCTTCGAGTTGTGTATAGCAAGCATAACAAACGACATCAACAGAAACTACGGGCTGTGCACCCCCTACCCTCACCGTAAATCAATCAGGGTTGCGTTTTATGCCCACTTCATTCAAACATGTGTGTTGTATAATGCTTAGTCTCTGGTGTCTGGCCCAAACCTTTTTATTCTATCATCACAAGCTTTGGACTCTCCCTCCTCTCTCTCTGTGTCCTTGTGTTTCCATGATCCTTGCAAGTTGGGGGCGATAGGGAAGTGGGGGGCGCTTCTGGGGAGGGGATTTTGTTTTGCTCCTCCAAGGTGCGTGGCACCCGGAAGTACCGTTTCCTGATTTCCCCTTTTAAGATGAAAAAATTGTTAGAAACTAGAATGGTCTTTTAAGATGAAAAAACTGTTTTAAACTTCCCGGAAGTCCAAATTTGTCGGAACTCGATTGCATCGATTGGAACGAGCATCTTTGGGGATCCTCTACTGGACCTCTAGGGAATTTCTCATCTTTTAGGGTAGATCTGCCAAATCAGGAAAAAGTTGGAAAACTGCATCTTTGAGGGGCAAACTGTTGCTTTGTGCGGATTCTATTATGTGAATTTATATCTGCATAAGTCATGTCTGGCAGACGTGAGCATTGTCCAACTTCATGAACCGTAGAGACAATTGCTGCCCCGCAGTAACGAAGTTGTACCTGGCCAATAGTTCTTTCTCTCACTGTTTGCTGTAAAAAAAAAAGGAAAAAAAAAAAAGAAAAGAAAGAGCTGTACTTTTTACATCAAGTGGATGTGTCGAAAGAAGGAAAATGAAAAAGTTGGTCTGCACATGAGCGAGCTGTTATCGTAGGGCCTCACTGAACTACTCAGAAAACAGAAAAGAACGAGAGACCATCTTCCTACAGAAGCTCGCAAGATACATTCCTTACTGTTCAATGTAAAGTTAAGGTCGACGGATTTGACATGAATCTGCTCAACCATCGTTGCTCGTGATGGATCGTTAAATGCCAACAGATGTGCAGCACACTAATTATTGAAGTGAAGTTAAGCCACCACTACACACGGGCCTGGAGGCACTGCATTGCGCCCCAAGCTTTTCCAAATGGCCAGCGGCACACTTTGTTTCTTTTTGGGGTGGTGTGGTCTGTGAGGCCCGAGACGTGAAATTTTAAGAGTAGACAATCGAACAAATTTCCGCAAGGCTGGGGCTGTGTACTGGTGGTTTAAGGCCATGGATTTGACATATGTTTGAAGAAACATTGTTGCTTGTGACGAATTGTCGAATGCCAACAGATGTGCGGCGCGCTCTTGCCTTTCACATTCCAGAGGCGAGGAAGGCTCTTCTTCTGACAGAGGTGGACCGTGTTGGGCAGGTATGTTTTCAGAAGTGCCACCTTTCTCTTTTTATAATTTTATTTTCTCTCTTTTTTTTCCCCTCCTCTTCCCTTTGGTTTTTAAAAAAAGGGGCGATAGCCTTGAGATATCATTGTCGAACTGACCAGCCCTAGGTAATTCAGAATTGTAGAATTTCAGTCATCTGCTTCCAGTGGAGTTCGAACTCGGGCGTGTGTTTCAACAGTTCAGGAGCTAGGCCAGTTGGCGCCTTTTTCTTTTCTCAAACCGCCAGTCCAGCCAAAGCAGAAAAGGTCCTTTACCGGCATACGCGGTAAGAGGTTTTCGATTCGGGCCTGGTCCAGTAGTGAACCCAGCAGGCCACTTTGAGAAGTCGCAGTAGCAGGCTCGCTCGCCTTGGAAGGTAGCTTCGTCAACTTAGGCTCAACTCGATGTATTATGTACACCCTTGCATCCCTTTCTTCTTCTATGAAATTGGTTAATTAAACCACAAATACCTTGCCCAGACAAACTTCAAAATTGGAATTGCGTCAGTCCGGGTTCTTGGATGAACAGTGCTGCAGGACAAAAACGGCGTGTGGCACCAGCCAAAAAGAGAAAAGCAGTGCGCCGCTTGCGGTTCAGTTTTCTTTGGTGTGCAGTGCATCGAGAAAAAGAGGCTCGGAGTTATTGGTGGTGTAACGGCGGTCATGCATCGGAACTTTCCCCCCATGGGCCAAAAACTTTTATCAACGACAGCTGGAGCAATACGTATAGGGGTGAGGTCTCTATAGAAATGGAATGTCAAGTTATCCCTACACTTATTAAAATCCCTAAGCGTTGAAATCTCGCATCCAGGCCGTTCGGCCTGACGGTCCGGATGCACGCGCGATCTTGAAACTTTAAGATCGCACTTCGATCTGGGCCGTCGGGAGGCCCGACGGTCCGGATGCGCGTGCGATCTTAAAGTTTTAAGATCGCGTGCGCATCCGGACCGTCGGGCCGTCCAACGGTCCAGATCAACACGCGATCTTAAGATCGCGCGAACATCCGGGCCGTCGGCAGGCCAGACGGTCCGGATCGCCACGCAATCGTAAGATCGCGGCCAGCAGGCAGCCCCAACGGCCTTGCCGAGCAACGGCCCTGCCGCGTGAAGACGCTGCCGACCTAACTCTACGCTACCGACCTACCGACCTACCGACCTACCGACCTAATGGACATATGCTAGACTACCGACAACGGCCTATGCTACCGACAACGGGCTACGCTACTGACCTGACGCTACTCTACCGACCTAGCGCTATGCTAGCGACCCTCTCTCTCCATCTCTCTCCCTCCCTCTCTCTCTCTTTCCCCCTCCCTCTCTCTCTCTC